CTTTGTAAGAGCGGCAGGCCATGTCTTTGCCTTTGCTACCACCTTTATTTTTCTCCCCATCCTTTTTGCGTTTATCGGAGTCAGCACTAGTGGCTCTGGAGCCACCATTGCTTCCCGTCGAAGATACATTGGCAGCGGCAGCTTTGGCCTGTTTGGATGTGCGCTCATATCCCAAAGATTGTCCAGCGCCAAGTTTCGCTTGTTCCCACTTGTCAAGCTTCAGCTTCTCAGCATCGGTTAGCCTTCTCTATGGGCTTTGTGGCATCCGTCTTCTGGTCCTCGACAATTCTTGGGGTCTCGGGAGTATGCGTAACACGGAATAGTACTGTCTTTCCCACGTGACTGACTTCTATGCTTCTGCTGTCCTCCTTTCCCACAGTTACCAGTCGGGGTCTGGGATCGGCCCTGTCCCTTTCGGCCCCTGTCCTTCGATCTCCCTCTAAGGTTCTTACCCTGGGTAGGAGCTGCACTGGATTTTCGCCCCGCACTCGGCTGAGCCGGCGCGGCGTTCCTGGGCTTCTTATGATTGAAGGGGCAGCCCTTTCCTGCGTGCGGGCAAATTTCGCCCTTGTGCACGTATCTGCACGTGGTTTCGCCCTTAGTCTTCCCGCTTTTCATGGCATCTGAGGATTTCCCCAACTTAGCAGCAATCTCTGCCGGGGCGGCTTTACTACCTGCATTCCTCCGATTGTCATTGCCTCCGCCTCCGCCGAATCGTGCTTGCCTAGCACGTTAGTTTAAGGTTCCCTCATGCACGCTGATGTTCCACTCTTCTTTTTCTCGCAACATCATTTCTTCGATCTGCTCCATCAGCCACACGTAAGTCTTCGCACCTTGTCCCATTCTGTCTTTTGACAAGTCATATAACTGACATACAAAGTTCAGTTTGCTCGGCTTTCTGCATTGTTCAAGAATGTGTGCATGCATCGAGGCCCTCCTTTCATCGGACGGAGGTTTAGCGCCGTAAAGCTGTTGGTGCACATCTGTCCATTCATTGTAGAAATGATACAGGTCAGCATCGGGCTCGCGCGGGTCAATGATCGATCACCTTGAAGAGGTCACGTGAAATACGATGTTACCCCAACTCCGACCATACCGAACACCAATGGCAAATTGATCGCACCATCTCGCGTCCAGTCATGAGTCTGCCCTCGGTCTGGGCGCTGAATTCCATGCGAGTAATCTGTTGGAGGAAATGAGTATGATGATCAAGCTGATATCGACTCTTTCGCATCTGGTTGACTTGTTCGATCAGATTCGTTGCGATCATGAGGTCGAGACGCTGGAATCGTCCAGCATCTTTGAGCTGCTCATCCTCCACATCTGGATCCATAGCCTCGGCAATCCAGTGCTGTGCTGCCTGGCTCTCGGGCGATGATCCAGCGATTGCACGTATTGCGTGCATTTTCCATTCACGAACGTTCGTTGCATCAGGGACGTCCATCAAATCAATCTTCTGATTGTTGCCAACCTGTCTCCACTGATCTAACGGCGTACTCTCGTCAATTACTACTGAGTCGCGCGGTCCGCCGGGGCCCTGCGGCCCCCTGCGCCCACCCCCACCTTCAGAGGGGTCTGGCCCCCCTGGGCTACCCGGAGGCGGCCCACGCGGTTTTCTACCACGATCGTCTTCGTGCAAAGATACGATCTCAGTGTTGGGAGCGTCGCTCTTGTCGTCTCCGTCTCCGCCCTGTCCTGCATCGCCCGACGACTTAGTCGCCGTCATTCCCGTGGGGCCGTCTCCGTAAGGCGGACGGAGATTGGCAAGGGCGTTACCTTCGTTAGGTCCAGCTAGCCTCATCCCTACAGGAAGTCCATTCTCAGCGGTGCTCGGCTTAGCCGGACCTTCTAGGGCAGAGCCTGGGACAATAAAATGTTGACGCAACAGCGGCCTCACGGGAGTTTCTTGCGAGAGCAACGGAAAACCATATGACTTCGATGTGAGTCCGGCATCTCGTTTATTTTCAGTATATGGAGTCGGGTCGGCGATGATAGCCATAAGCCTCATCTTTCCTTTCTCTGCAAAAACTGCGTTCGAAACAATCTCTTATCCTCGCATTTTGGCCGCTGACCTTTCACTCTTCCACAGGTCGCATCTATAGCATCTTCTAATGCTCGCATCGATATGTTCTTTGCACGCCGACCTACCACACCCGACGCGACTGTCCGTTTTTGGACGAAAACAAAGGGCACAAAACTGATCCACGGGGAGTGTGTTTCCCTTCTCCTCGGGAGGAGGATGCATTGCACCTCCTACCAGCATGGTCGATGTTCCCGCATTTGCCAAGGTCGTCTGATCAAATTGCGTAGGGATGGATACTATTCCCGACGGCTGAGCCGTCGGCAATTGGTGTATGTCCGACTCAGTCGGCTTAGCCGGCGGGCATTTGGCATTGCTCGACATTATGCGCTGGAGGGAAGACCTAGCTTTCTCATGCGATGTAAGCTCTTCCAGATAGAGATTGTTCTGGTTGGTTATCTTCGCAGCTACAGCTTGGGTGTTGTCTGCTTCCAGCCTGGCAGCTTTGAGCTCTTCTTGTAAGCCATGTTTTTCTCGTTCCGCCACGACTGTCGCGATTTGTTCTCCTTCTATCCTGGCCACCGCGACGGCAGCGGCAACCGCATTGGCGTCAGCAGATTCTTCGTTTGCCATCATGACGGCCCGTCTCTCCGAAGTCAACAATTCTCTGTATATATTTTCAGCTTCCCTCTCCACTTGCCATTTCACGGCCTCAGTCTGACTGGGCAGATGTTCTATCAGCGCCTGTTCGCGCTCTCTAGCAGCCATGGCTAGGGCGACCCGCTCAGCCTCAAACGTTTCTCGAGCTTCGATCACAGTCTCAGTTAATTCTTCTCTGTCCAATCGAGCCCTTTCAGCCAGATGCGCTTCATTGGTCAGAAACTCTCTGAGTGTTAGCCTCTGCTAGCCTGGCCTGGTCTTGAATAGACTGCATGAGGAGGTACGTGCACTTATGCTCGTCCATTGGGTAACACTCTGTGCGCAGCCATTGCATGTTACACTTGTTGCAAACGCCCGAGCAACTCCTGCACGATGGGTTCCTACATGCGCCTTCAGGCCTGTTGGCTTTCCCTGGGCATCTGCTCTCCGCCTGAGGCGCGCAGCCAGGATTGGGAATCCAACGTGCCCCCATCATAGAAACTGCACTGTTGCTCCTTGAAGTAGGCCTCGCCCCTGCTCTTTGTATGTTGGGTCTTCCCCAGCTCGAAGCATTCGATCTGGGGCGAGTAAAAATACTTTCTGGTGGTTTAGGCGCATTTAGGAGCTCCTCATCCTTTTCGTCTTGTGCTATTCGCTCAGCATACGTAGCTGGTTGTCCGACCATTTCTTCATCCTCAACAACCGCTGGAATAGTGGGTTGCCACTCACCTGAGGCGGTGGCATTACGGAAGAAACCTTCCTTTAATGGCGAAGCGTTTAGTTCGTAGTCCGCATTCCGTTGCTTCTTGAGGTTAGGCGCAGGGGTTCGTCCAGTGGACTCCCACTCATGCTTCATCTGAGCCTCCGTCCTGTCCGCCTGAGGCGTCAGGATACTAGTGTCTTCATCGGATCCATCTGGAGACCATCTTTCGTCTTGAGCAGGGATGTCTTCTTCTATCATCACGGACAACGCTCGGCTCAAGGAAATATCATTATTGATACTATCAAAATCTTCCTCCATGGAATAGATTTCATGGTTTTTGTCTATTGGATCATCACTATCCTGACCGAGTTGTCCGTTAAATGCTATAGGAGTTGGGGCGTTAACATGCATGCCCACCCATCCTGTCGGGATATCAAGATACGTATTCAGATTTCCTTGGATCCCCCCTGGCCGGCTGGCTTCGCCAGCGGCAATGACAGTAGCTTGTGGAGCATTCTGGATGGAGCTTATTGACTCCGTCGATTTGGCACTCCACGACGAGAATGCACCTCGCCTGGGTCTTGGCGTGACGCCATCTCGCCCGCGAGGGTCGGGGGTTCGCTCACGATCACCTATCGGGGCCCCTGCGGGGGATACGTCTACCGACATTTCGGTTATCCCCTCGGTACTTCTCCCCCTCACGACCCGATCGGCGACATATGAAGGAGGGATTCAGTCTTGAACAGGACCGTCTGTGTCTGCATCGTGTCCATCATGTTGTTCAACGCGCCCATCAGCGCTTCTCGAGATATTGGACACGATATTAGTCTTATCATAGCTCTCTCCCGCAGCGACTGAGTCGCGGGGCACGACTGAAAAAATCTTCTTTTGTATCTAATGGCCCCGCGTCGACTGAGTCGCGCGTTTCGGCTGATAACCAGTCTTTCCTCTGAGAATCGGGGTCAGATGACAAAGGAATTAAGATCTCATGTTCACTCTGCTCAGGGAGGGCGGAGGCGGGATGAGAAATTGATAAGACAAGTATCCGTTAAGCAAGACGACTCTATCAGGAATGTGAAGGGAGGAGGTCGGCCGAGGACGGACGACGACGAGCCGCCCGCGCACCCCAGCGCGCTCCTTTTCTCTCCTACCAGCCGAGGCCGGCTGGCTCGAGCAGTCGTATGGCTGCGGAAACGCAGCTTCAGTTCACGCGGACAGTGCAATGCATGCAAATTAAGTTGTTCTAGTTGAATATGAGGCGGGGAGGAGCATATTTACTGATTTAGATGGACCGCGGACGGGCCATCAGAAGTCTCGGAACGCTTCAACAATGTGTCTAATTGAACGGATATGTCCTGGATCACTCTGCTGCTTCTCCGCCAGACGACACCTGTTAGGCTGGTTCCTCGCGACTTGGGCGTCCATTCCATGGTATGCGATGCTATGATATCCCAGGCGGTGCTATGGCATGCTAGTGTTAGTGCTAGTCTGGGCGAGTGCCATGGCATGTCAGTGCTATGTTATGCCAGCACCGTGCTGTTTTAATACCACGCTGTGTGACTGTCACGATGATGCGAATGACATCCCCATGATGTGACAAATTCATGCGATACACTGTTAAGTCTAATGATGTGCTGTGGCATACCGTGCTAGGATGTATGATCTACACATATACACAGAGACAGTGATGACTCGTATGTGGGCTCCGAAAGACATGGGGTCCACTGAGCTCCGAATCTGCAGACCAGCGCTATCATTTTGCGGTGTAGAGGCTCCCACTACCATATCGGGCGTACATGCATCAAGGACTGACGATGATAATCATCCTGCCTGCGGAAGTAGGTTACGCCCTCTGCCACCCAAGCTTCAACCAGCTTGCTAGCGTGCGTGGCCAATCAATTATTCAGTTGGTCGCACCTCCAGAAACGAATTCGAAAACTAACTTCGGGCTACGCCCGAAATTCAGCATCGTGGAACGGCTGTGGCCGCTGCGTAAGCTCAATGCTCGTACACACTAACGCAACACATAGCGTATTGATACGGAGCTCAACACGTAGGCTGAAAACGTAGGTCCGACGCGATACACTCGCCAAAATGTGGTCCAAAACGTGGAACAACACGCAACTTATTGACACGGACGTCTTGATCACGGGACGTATTGCGTATCAAAACGGGCGTATCGAGGCAACTCAGATCACATATCATCGCTCGAAAACTCATCGAGACCAACCGAGAGAAATAAAACGCTGAATCTGCGGCTGGAAGAAACGCAAGAATCTGCGGCTGCACCGGCGCACCGGGACATCGCACGCCATGCAAGATGGAGGACGTCCAACAAAATGTATGGTATCAAGCAAGTCAGAAAATGTAAGCGCTCTCCGCTGCAAAGATGCTTCGCTCAGGATCTGGCTCTCGACGCCCTGTTAGGTAAATGCGATCAATGAACGCGCGAGTGCATGAAACGAATTTTCTCGCACGCACAAAACCAGGCATGAAGGTAAAACCGCATGGGGCAGCTGAACTCCTCCTCCTCCTCCTCCTCCTCCTCCTCTTCGTCCTCATCTTCCTCATCACTCCCTGTCAATATCTAACGGTGCTTGGGACCATACCTTTTTGCATGACTTGTATCGTCTTCCGCGTGGCACGGCGTTGCGCAAATCTCTTGCCTGGGATGCCGCCGGCGCACGATGCCGTGCGCTGGTGAGCAGATGCCGTCGGGGCAGTGGACCGTGGCCGACCACACAAACCAAGTTGAGGAGGCCGCCCAGGAGATCTTGGTGATGGCGGCTCAAGGTGTATCGTGAGACCCTTTCAGCGCTTGAAAAGGCAAACAGCTCCGCGGCCTCCACCACTCGCAACATAATTCACGCTAAGGTAATATGATAGTGACGGTGACTAGAGTGAGGGTATCGATGCCTGTCGTGATGGTGGTGACGATCGCTCGAACATTGTAGTGATGACGACTATTATTTCCCTTCGAAGGTGGACTCCGAGGTGGCCTGCATACTACCTTCTTGTGAAGCGTAAAGAGCAAGACGCGGCCAATGCACGACTGAGATGCTCGACGGGATCGCCGACCGCACGCACGCTACGGAGAAGACCAGTCATCTAACCGCGCGCACTTCGTGAACCTAGTCCAGAAAACTGATGGCGTTATGGTCGATGCTTCGACTACCCAAGATTTCATTGCGCCTCTGCCGATGCTCTTCGCCTTCACAGAGGACAGCCTTTTGCAGATCTATGTGGTTAAAATCGGAGATAGCAACCACCCACCGTATCCAGCAAAGTAGCCTCTCCAAGGCAGTCATTCTTCGTTCCTTGGGGGTCGCCCCTTTGAAGGTGGATATGGCGACCGGATCTAGGGCGGCATCATCGTTCAGGCAGAAAGCTCTTTGCCAGAGAGCGTTGGCTACGTGGGCGACCCACACATTGAGCAAAGCATCTTCCTCTGGCTCGACCTTGGCGTCCTCACCACCGAAAAGGAAGAGCATGAGCCTGTTACGGAACTGAATATCCATTTGAACCACCCCACCCACAAGCTGATTCAGAAATACAATGCCCAAGAACATCTGCGTGAGCGGGCGACCTTCGTTCATCTCAAGCTGGGCTGCTGTCTGGGTGAATTTGTGCATGAAAGCCTGAAGGCCGAACCAGAGAATAACGATCCGCTTGATGACGAACAGCGATATCATCGCGAACCTCTGCCTGCAGGACCGCAGTCGCATGCTGTACTTCAAGTGGGCCGACCGAAGCTCCGCGGGGAAAAGCTGCGGGTGCACGTGCTTCAGCGCGCGCAGGGCACTGAATGTGCGAACGGATGGGATTAGATCCCAGTAGATATACACGGTCGCCTCCCAAGAATTGTAAAGGTCCTCCCACTGCCCGCCGTGCGTCCTGCATGCACGCCAGGCGGCAACCAGTAGCCGCATGAAATAATAGGCTAACCCACCGATCTCGTAAACGGACACGACAGCCTGCCGCCACACCGGCGGCAAGAAACCAACCTCGGCAGGGCGGTGCTCTGGGGGTGGGGTGGGGAGGCGACAGAAACAGCACATCATCGCCCGCCTCTCGGTGGATTTAGAAGGTAGTTGACACGCGAAGGCGGTGCTGAAGTCTGAAGGTCCGAAAACACAGCACCTGGTTTCCAGTGACTCGTTTGCCGCACTTCCAGCAAACAGGCAACGTTTGCCAACGTGGCAAAGTGGACTCAGAACGCTTAATTTCTGGAGCCCTGGGAGAGTAATCAATGGTGCGATCGATGTGCTGCGGTGTATGGGATACGATATGTGCGGCTCGAGCTGCAAGGTGCACTGTATGTGACTCCGGGTGCCGCTCGTGCTGCGCAACCGATGTGTGCGTCGGCCAGCCGGTGCACGGGGCGCCCACGAGCGGCCAGCACGGGGCGCCCACGAGCGGGCACGGGCCGGAAACCCGAACGCCCCAGCCAGCTCACGTGGCGCCCACGGGGCACCCACGGGGCGCCAACCTGGAAAAAAACGATTCAGCGGACGACGCGCCCACGAGGCGCCCTCGGAGGGGCACCAGGCGAAAGCCGGCACGCACTGTTTGGGGGAAAGATCCGCGAATTCAACACCCATTGATTTTGACTACTGTCTGCTAGCCCCCTTCGGGGCGTAAGGCTGTGCTGGACTGCTGGCGTGCTCTCTGTGTGTTATCTTTTGTCTTTGCCCCTTGTATCTCTAGTGCAGTCTCCATTATACTGTCTACCACGGAGGCCCACGGCGCCCAGGAAAAGCCCCATGGCCGCCCTAAGTGGCCCAGACTTCCTACAGGGACTCCAGCAGACGGCCAGGAGGGCCAAAAAGTCCTCCAGGACGGCCTGAAGAGCCCCCAGCTGGTGTGCCTGACGAGCCCAAGACGGCCACAGAAGGAGGGTGCGCCGCTGGATCTCCCCAAGGGAGGAGAGGGTTAGGACCCCCCCCCCTTTCCCCGATCCGTCGTCGGGCCCCCCCCCCCCCTCCCCCCCTTCCCCCCTTCCCCGTCGTCGGGGAACCCCCCCCCCCCCCCCTCCTTTCGGGGGACCCCCCCCCCCGCTCTCCCCTTTCGCCACGCCGCCGCCTTGACTCCGGAACCCGACCCCCGCCACCCCTACCCCTAGTCCTCACCCTAACCCAAACCCATAACCCTAACCCCAGCCAGTAACCCCAGCCCCAAAGAGTACTCACTACTCATTACTCACTACCCACTACTGACTACTCGCTATTCGCTACTCAGTTCTCACTACCCTCTACTCGCTACTCACGACTCACTACTCACCATCCACTACTCACTACCCACCACCGACTACTCGCTACTCACTACTCCCTACTCACTACGCCCTCCTCCCTACTCACTATTCACTACTCACTCCTCACTACCCACTACTCAATACTCACTACTCACTAAGCACTACTCACTACTGCCTACTCCTTACTCGCTACTCACTAATCACTACTCATTACCCACTACCCCCTATCCACTATTCACTACTCCCTACTAACTACTCATTACCCACAAATCACTACTCACTACCCACCACCCGCTACTCGCTACTCCCTACTCCCTACAGAATACTGACTACACAGTACTCAGTACTCACTACTCGCTAGCCCCATACTCGCTACTCAATACTCACTACTCACTCCCCGCTACTCACTATTCACTACTCAGTACTTACTACTCCCTACTAACTAGTGACCACATAGTCTCTAGTCACTAGTCACAACTCACTAATCACAAATCACTAGTCACTAGTTACTACTCACTACCCACTACCCACTACTCACCAATCGCTACTCACTACCCACTATGCGCTACCCACTTCTTACTACTCACTGCTCACTACTCCCTACTCCCTACTCCCGACTCACTACTCCCTACTCATTACTCACCACTCGCTACTCCCTACTCGTTACTCACTAATCACTACCCATTACTCACTACCGACTACTCCCTACTCGCTACTCACTACTCACTACGCCCTATTCGCTCCTACCTATTCACTACTCGCTACTCCCTACTCGCTACTCACTATTCACTACCCAGTGCCACTACCCACTACTCTCATCACTACTCACTACTCACTACTCACTACGCACTACGAACTACTCAATACTCACTACTCACTACTCACTACTGACTATTCACTACTCGCTACTCACTACTCACTACTCACTACTCACTACTCACTACTCACTACTCACTGCTCACTACTCACTGCTCACTACTCACTACTTACTACGCACTACGCACTACCCACTACTCACTCACTACTCACTAATCACTACTCGCCACCCACTACTCACTACCCACTACTCACTACCCACTACTCATTACTCCCTACTCCCTACTCAGTACTCGCTACTCGCTACTCGCTACTCACTACTCACTACTCACTACTCGCCACTCACTACTCACTTATCAATACACACTACTCACTATTCACTACTCACTACTCCCCACTCCCCACTCCCTACTCCCACTCGCCACTCACTACCCACTACTCACAACCCAATACTCACTACTCACTACGCACTAACTCACTACTCACTACTTACCACTCCCTACTCCCAACTCCGTACTCCCTATACGAGGGGGGGGGGGGGTCCGACCCCCCCCCCTCCAGCGCCAAGGGGGGGGAGGGGGGGGGGGTCTGGACCCCCTCCCCCCCTTTAAGGGGGGGAGGGGGGGACGGGGGTTCCGGACCCCCTCCCCCCCTTGAAGGGGGGGAGGGGGGGGGGGTCTGCTGGACCCCCCCCTTTTAGTGTGTTCAGGGAGATCCACTGGCGCACTTTCCCACAGAAGGCATCAAGATGCATCTGAGATGGCTCAGGAGGAACCAAGACGCCGCCGAGGGGACAACAGCACAAACGCACACTGAATGTGTTCAATGTGTTGTTCATGCTTCATGGTTTGCTCCCGAGGTGTTCCAATATCGATTCAAAATGCCCCTAAAATTCCCCAATGTGTTCCTCAACTCGCCCAGGATGGGCCAGCAAGGCCCAAGATAGCCCCAAGATGCCCCCTGCACAAGTCTCGTCGCAATCATCGCGACGCCGCCAGTTGGCTGTTGACGATGCGCAATCGTTGAGCGGGCCGTTCGAAGTTGACGGGCGCGCTGGGCTCTTGGCTGAATGACACCTCGCCCGCGCACCTCGATGCGTTGGCTTCAACTTTGGAGGGCGGGGGCGAGCTTCCAGCGAAGCTTCCCGCGGCGCGACTTCGATTTTGTCTAGATATAGTTGTGACGAGACTTATTGCAGGTGGGCTCCAGCGCCCCCAAGATGCCCCCTGTAGCCCTCGAGATCGCGGAATGAGGCCCTGAAACTGTTCCAATATGGTTCAGCCTCGGAGGCTGGCGGCAGAGGGCGCAACCCTTCAGATCTGGCCGCTCCCGCCCTGCGGGTTGGGCCGTGCGAGACCACTCTGACAAAGTGCAGGGTAGGATTCGCCTGGGCCTGCAAAACATCTCCCTGAAGTCCATCCTCTGGGCCTCCACTCTGTCGGCAGTCCCTCGCAGACCCCCCCGACACGAAGGTTTTCAGAAATCCCAAGGGCCCCAAAACGACCCCAGAGAGCCCCAAGACGGCCCCCAAAGGGTCCAAGAAGGCTCCACGTCGCCGACAGACCGCCCCAAGACGCCCAAGATGGCCTTGAGACGGTACACGTGGCCCCCAAGACGCCCCAAGAGGGCTTCAAGAGGCCTTCCAAGAAGGCCCCGAAAGGTAAACATCGTCCCATTCCTATGGGGAAACGTATACTTATATCATGTGCGACTTTTGGGACTCTGAGCGTCCACGACGGCCCTAGCGGCGCCCAGTATCGCCCGAGTATCGACCCAGAGGCTCCGAAGAGGACTCTGATATGGCCCAAAAGCACCCAAAGACGGCCCAAGAGGCGCCCAAGACGGCCCCAAGCCCTACAGGGGCCCAGAAGCCAGACCTCCAACATATATTTCAAGCTTGTGGCCCAAAGGGACCTCCGAGACCTCCAGCACGCCCCACAGAAACCCCCAATAGGCCCCACGATGCTCTCAAGAGATCCGATATGGGGCCCCCAAGATCACCCCAAGATCGACCCAGAGACCCCGAAGAGGGTGTCAAGATGTGCCCAGACGGCCCCAAGACGGCCCAAGACGCGCCGACGACGGCTCATGCCGGCCCCAAGAGGGCCCTAGAGCCAGAACTCGAAATTAAATGTCCAGCTTCCTGCCCAAACGGGACCTCCCAGACCGCCAGCAGGCCTCCAAGAAGCCCCCAAGAGGCCCAACGGAAGCCCCCAAGGCCCCCAAACAGCACCCAAGAGCCCCCAAAGAGGCTTCAAAACTGCTTCCACGAGACTACGGACCAAATGCGTCAAACTCCCAGGGAACGGCTGGTGATGCCCTGCAGGCGTTGTCGATATCGATTGACACTTGCATCATAAAACATGCTTGACAATCCCTGGATCCTGGGCAATCCCTTGACGACCTCGGGCCCCCCACTGGACAACCCTGTCTGGACAATCGCCCCATCACAATTCCCCCCCACACAACATGATAACCATCAATTTACCGGGTGTTCCTGCTGAGACGTAAGTGGCACTTGCCCCTCCCACTCCGTGCTCCCGGATTGCACTCCCGTGCAACACCTGCACCTGGCGAAAATCCACCTTTCGCTGAACCCCTTCGTTCGCCTCACCGTCGTTATGTGGCCACCGACGCCGGGGCCGCGGCCACCTCTCATGGGGAACCTTCTGCGACAACTCTCCAGGCTGGCTCCAGATTCCGTGTGCGGAAATGTCCTGTCGTGCAACGCTGGCGCAACGCAACAAGATGCTGACGTTGACCAATAATACCACGTAGCCAAACGCCACTTTGATGAACTTGGGCCAGGCCGGCCAACCACCCCCGTGCTGCGCCATTGCCAGAAACTTCAGGCCTCCGTCTGGCCTCAGCCCGAGATGTTGGAATGGCTTGAAGTCAGGACTGCCAGAAGGGTCATGCGCAAAACCTTCACGTGCACGTGTGCGCGGCAGCTTGCTGCTGCTGCTGCTAAAGTCTGATCGGTAGGCGTGCCAAAGTCTGCTGCCAGACGCCGCTTGCTGCAATCGTTCCACCACGCGCCGCGCCTGCTGCGCCTGCTTAAGAACGATGCAAATGCCCGATGTCTTGCCAGTGTGGCTCTCGAACACTGCTGGCACTGTTGGACGCTCTTCCAATGGTTTCAGCAGGCATTCGTGAGCCACTTGGAATGTACAAGTGCGTCTATATATACACATATATGTGTATATATACACATATAGATGTGTGTTTCCGCATAAATTAATGTGGTTCGATGCATCCATATATGTGCAAGTGGACACACACATGAACACACACACACATATCAATATTTTATATATATATATATATATATATGTATACATATTGCGATATATATATATATGTATGTGCATACATACATGTATATGTATATGTGTAAGCATATCTATAATTCAAAGTATTCATACACGGATACCAAATTTTAGATATATGCCAATCCATTTATATAACTACGTGTGTGTATATATATATATATACTAGAACCACGCGCGCGCTACGCGCGCGCTTAGGTTCTAGCTTAGCTTCGTCCGGGGCAACGGCCAAACAACGGACGAGGAGGTTGAAGGCTGAATGCACTTCGGTTATTCGTCGAATTTCGTGGTCGGCGTGGTTCGAAAAGCTTTTGGGCGCTCCTCGCCCCCAGGCGCCCCGAGGCGGCCGAAAAGAACACCTCTTCCTCGTCCTCCTCTTTCCCCCTGTTCTTGCTCCTCTCCTCCTACTCTTCCTCCTCCCCCCATCGTCCCCTCCTTTTCCCCCTTCCTCCTCCTCCGCCCCCTTCCTCCCCTCCTCCTCCTTTTCCTCCTCCTCATCCTCCTCTTCCTCCTCCTCCGCCTCCTCTTCCTTCTCCTCCTACTTTAGTATTTCCTCTGAGAATCGGGGCGAGATGACAAAGGAATTAAGATCTCATGTTCACTCTGCTCAGGGAGAAGGGGGACGGGATGAGACATCGATGAGACAAGTATCCGTTAAGCAAGATTACTCGATCAGGAATGTGAAGGGAGGAGGCCGGCTGGCCTACGACCGACGACGCGCGACGGCCGTGGGCTGGCGCGCTCCTTTTCTCTCCTGCAAGCCAAGGCTGGCTTGTTTGAGCATCCATACAGCTGCGGGATGCAGCTGTTAATTCCAGCGGACAGTGCAACGCATGCAAACTAAGTTAAGTTCTAATTGAATATGAGGCGGAGAGGAGCATATTTACTCCCCCCGCGGCGGGCCGCGCAGGGCCCATCCAGCCACGGCGCCCCCGGCCTGTACATGCGCACAACCGCCGGAGCCAACCCGAAAAAAGCTTTTACAGCTCAACGGTGGCTGCCAGGGGGCCAAGGGCCGAAGAGGCTCGACGTTTCCCACCACTATGATAAATACATTCTCTCCGCTGGACCGGCTTAGCCGACCAGCAGAGGTATTCGCGTCCAACGCGCGTTCCGCGCGTGGATGAAGTTGTCTTGCATGCGCCTGCCGCGACTGAGTCACGCGGGCGAAACTCAGCTCAAGTCCTCAAACGGGTTGGGCTCGCCCTCTGCTCTGGGCGGCGCCGGGGGCGGCGGGTTCGACGACGCCGATCCTCCCGTCTGTGCGTCCACGCCACGAGGCGTGCGGGACCGCCCTCTTCCTTTGTGTGTCGCTCTTTGATGCTGTCCCTTTTGACGGGAAGCGTAAATCGTGCTCATATTTGGATAGCGCGTGCCAGTAGTCCAGAGTATACCACTCGTCGTCGGGAAACCACGTGATCTTGTTCCGATGGACGTGGTATCCGGCGTGGATTTTGCTCACGTAGCGCGGGTAGGACATGGGCGGGTCGTACTCGTAGCTGTAGTCCGCAGCGCTGCTGGCAGCATCCATGGCCGCGCCGCTGGCAGCATCCATGGCCGCGCCGCTGGCAGCATACATGGCCCCATCGCGCGCGCGCCGGGAATCCGACCGATCCCTTGTGCTGGGATGCTGAGGGCATGCCTCCCTAGTCGTCACGGCTGAGCTGGCGACAGAACGCGGGGACTCGGCGGCTTCTTCGGATACCCGAACGTCTGAGACGCCAGGTCTAAGAGGCGGAGGGCGCGATAAAGGTCTAGCCTTCGCTCCATCCGTCGCCCTTCGTGGTCCCACGAGCTCGGCTTCGCCGTCGAGGTCGGGATCGTTATTCTTACGATCTCTCATGAACTGTATTAAGCTCCTGGCAGCTGTCGTCGCAGCGACACCATACTTTCCGCATGCAGTACGGAAGGGTCCATAATCTTTGTCCTGGAGTTCAGTACCAGGGTCAGGATATTTATCCTGAAGCCAAGAAATGGCTTCCTGTATAAGAGCACCGTGGCGACGGACATCATTTTGCACTTTCCTGCCCCTCTTATGGGCCCACATTTCTATTATGTCGTCAGTTTGAACAGCGGCACGGATGCGGCAGTCCAGGGCATGCTCGTCGGCCCGTCGCTTCGAAGCAATATTTTCCGCGCGTGCCATATCGGGGCGAATGATTCGCCCCGGGTAATCAATACAGTAATCTTCCGATATGAAGAAGCTGATAATTTCGCGGACAATTGCAAACAATCCTTATGGGCCGAAGGCCCAGTTGCATTTGTTGTACAGAGGCCAACCAATTGTCATCTACTATGGTCTTGATGATCTCCGGGATCACGTGTTCTGTAGTTCCTGTCAGGGCAACCCTGCCAGGATTAGTAGGGCTTGCGCCTGTGTGTTCAACGACATAATGGGCTGCAACTGTCCGAACCTCTGTCCCGAACAACCTTATCTGGATCGAAGGGTCATCGCGGTGAAAGTATACGTGTCCCTCAGAATGATCAACTGTGATGGTTCCGTCAGTATCAGCGTGGCCTTAGGCCCGCTGATTGCTGAAAGATCCAGATCCATCTGTGACTGTTCGCGTGCCATCGCGGCTTCGCTGGTGGCATGTCGCAGCGCCAACATAATGAGACGGCGGTCCCGACACTCACTAATCCGTCTCGAGACGGACTGAGAACTGCGAGTCGGCCTCGCTCTAAAATTGTTCTCCCAGGCAGCTGGTAATCGCGCAGGAGTGTTGTTGTCTCCGGCGTTGTTCCCATTTTCTTCATCCAAGGCGCCTGCATTCTGCGTGGGTAACCATGGTCTCCCTAAATTTACCACTTCGTCTATTGGATTAAGCGTCGAAGCAAAAACATGTGTTCTAGTCATGTTGTTATACCACCTCTCCCAGCCTCTCAAAGGAGTGACTGAGTCATCTCTTCGTCCGGCCAATAAAAGGCCTCCAGGGCTGGGCAAGACCTCGGGCGAGCATACTGGTCAAACTTAGTTTCCCACAATTTCGGCCTGCCCACGTTTCTGGCTGAATATTCAAGCCACGATATGGACCTTCTGACTAAAGGCTTCAAATATTGAAAGAAAGGGGGCATGGCGCGCCGGTGGCTGAGCCACGGCGTTTTCCGGAATCCAAGCTGGAAAGTTGCCAGGCTGACTATTGCCGAATATCGTGCCAGCGGCCGCCATTATAGTAAACTGTCCAGCGGCCCATTTTCGCTCCTGCTGATTGTTGTTGCTGATGTTTTTTTCATGACATTGGCAGAAGCTCTCGCTTGTCTCTTTGCACGCGCCTGTATATATTGGTGGCGATCCCACGAAAGACCCTCTTCGTTATCCACCGCTATGAGGAGGCCGTTCGCCTCGAGGGGCCGAGGGGTAACGCGGCTGTTCCACGTCTGGGCCATGTAATCGTGCGCGACCTTGTATTTGTATTTGACCGGACAATTGCAGACAGGACAGTTTGCAAAACCTATCCTCACCAAGTGGTACCGGCCGCACAGGAACCTCCCGTCGTCCTCCCAAGGAATGGATATAATTCGATCCTGGATTTCGGTCGACAATCGTGACCAGTGGTCCCACGACACGATTATTCTCTCGTCTGTATGAACCCTGGCAATACTCGACTCGTTGTCGAAGGTAACCTCATATGAAAACAACTCGCGATTGAAGAGTACCGTCCAGCGCATCTGATCTGCCTGTCGCACAAGAGAGACGGCTTTGTCGATGTCAGTGAACCTCGGCACTTCTCGAAATACTAGGGTCCCGTCTGGGCAAACCCTGCGCGAGAAGCGAGTGGGCACTCTGCCGGTAAAAACAAAGACAAGATCCCATAGCTCACGGTGATTGGGGAGGCGTTGCCATAGGTGGTTGGTGTCTTCTGCGGGCCAAGTCCCCACCGATGGCGGCTCCCCTCCCCGAGCTGGATGATTCATGGACACTAGACTTCTCGCAGCGAGAGGCTGTCCGTACCTCCGCTGGCTGAGCCACGGAGGAATGTTTGAGGGATCAGGCATTGTTGGGCTATTGTTTACCGGAAGCAATCGCAATAATTCATAATCTGCGCCCTGGCAAAGCCCAGAGTCGCTCGTTGGGAAGCGAACCCTTCCACTCGTAGATTCCAAGAATTTTTGTGAAGAAGAAAGCAGCGACTCCTGACTTGGCCAGGGTCATATGGGACGTACATCCTTTCAATGGAAGCAGCGAACGTTGAATGTCCCTGACATGCTCTATAGAACATGGGTATCGGCGTCTCCCCTCTGTCTTCTTCTTGCGATGAGCACTCAGTGTGCCGCGTCCACATGGCGTGGGTTTTTGTTCCAATAATATTGGGACTAGCATTGGGAAAGATTCCCGAAACTTCGACCGCCCCTGGCGGCAGCGCAGCTAAGCTGTGTGAGGCCAGGGCGTACGATTGAAAAGTAAAACCGTCGTCTTTAATTTTCTGTACTAGGTCTCCAAAGTAGACCCAGCCTCCCGACGATCTAGCATAGTCAGAACAATGCCTCGCAAGGTATACAGCGCACTGGCCTGTCTTCTTGGCCAGTACGTCCGTTGTGCAGCTCAGGGCACACCAAGTGTCCGAGCTGCCCAAAGCAGCCGGATTTTCTTCACTATCTTCTCCAACTACCAGTGGCTGCAGGCACGCATAGGCCCCCAGGGTAAACCCATCTGGCACATCATCGGAATGAAATTCAGCTCTAAGGTAATCCTTTGCCTGTGCGAAAGTTCCATCGCCCTGACTGAGGCCCCCCAACGTTGCAAAAATTGGGTCTTCCACGAACTCGGCCATATATCGACGCGTATTGCCCGTTCGACTGCGGATGGCTTCGATGCGCGGCGGTGCGGGGCCTGTAATGTGGGCGTCATGGATCATG